TGTAGAATGTTGTCTTTATAAACTGTGTTATGCCAGTAGAGCTAGATGTTCCCCGAGACCATGGTCCCCAGAGCCCTCTGCCCAGCAATTCAGTCCCTCATGGAGTTTGGATGTGTCTATGGAGCTTCCATGACCTTTTCTTATACAAGTTATGCTGGTTTCCCCAGTATTGTGTACTGCCTTTCTTCTTTTTTTATGTGTGCATCTGTTGCTGTAAATTGACCTCTGAGCACTGTCTTTGCTGTGTACAAAAGGATTTGGTATGATGTGTTTTCAATCTCATTTGATTCTAGGAATTTTTTGATTCCATCTTTGAGTTCTTCTGTTACCCAGTGGTTTTTAAGCAGGTTGTTATACAGTTTCTATGTATTCTATTTTTCTTTCCTTGCTCTTCCTGTTGTTAATTTTTACTTTGATGACATTGTGATCAGAGAAAATACTTTGTATTATCTTAGTGTTTTGGATTTTGTTGAGGGTTGCTTTGTGGCCTAAGATGTGGTCTATTCTGTAAAATGTTCCATGTGTATCAGAAAAGAATGTATACTTTGCACCTGATGGGTAGTGTTCTATACCTGTCTATAAGGTCAAGTTGGTTGATTGTGATCTTTAGATCTTCTGTATGTTTGTTGAGTTTCATCCTAGATGTCCTGTCTTTTACAGAGAGTGGTATATTGAAGTCTCCTACTATTGTTGTGGAAGTGTCAATTTCTCTTTTCAGTGCTGTAGAGCTTGTTGTATGTATTTTGGAGCCCTGTCATTGGGTGCATCGATATTTATTATAGTTATGCCTTCATGGTGTATTGTACCTTTAATCATTATATAATGCCCTTCTCTATCTTTTATGGTGGATTTTGTTTTAATGTCCATTTTATTCGAGATTAGTATTGCCACTCCTAGTCTTTTTTGGTAGCTGTTTGCTTGATATATTTTTTTCCATCCTTTGATTTTTAATAAACTTATGTATTTGTTTCTAAGATGTATCTCTTGTAGACATCATGTTGATGGGCCCTGTTTTTTTTTTTTTTAAATCCGTTTTGTCACACTTTCTGTCTCTTTATGGATGCATTTGGGCCATTTATGTTCAGTGTAATTATTGATAGGTATGAGTGTATCGCTGTCATTTTGCAGTGCTTTTTTTTGTGGTGCTGACATTTTCTTTGTTCCTCTTACTCTCCTGTGCTGAATTCCTTTTGTTTGTGTGTGTGTGTGTGTGTTTTGTTACTTTCATTTTTGTGTTTACTGAGACTGTGTTTTTCTTCTTTATTTTGATGAGTAGGTTTGTTAACTTTCTTTGTGGTTACCTTGCAATTTACCCTTATCTTCCTAAGTTTGAACCAGTCTTTTATTGCTTGGTATCGCCTTGACTTCCACTCCATTTGAAAGTTCTTTACTTACACTATTTATTCCCTCTTTTTCTGTTCTGATATTGTTGTTATGTATAGATTAACCTCTCCAGTTACCTGTTGTAAATCTTTTAGTTTTGTTTTATGCTTGAGAGATCATTACCTAGGTTGGTATCTGGCTGATGCGGTCTTGGGTTCTAGATTCAGGCTGTTGTCTAATGTTGTCGGTTCTCTAACTGAAGGACTCCCTTTAATAATTCTTGTAAATTTAGTTTGGTTTTTACATATTCCCTTAATTTCTGTTTATCTGGAAATGTCCTAATTTCACCATCATATTTGAGTGAGAATTTTGCAGGATATATAATTCTTGGTTGGCAAGTTTTTTTCTTTCAAGGTTTTATATATGTCATCCCATTCCCTTCTTGCCTGCATGGTTTCTGTCAAGTAATCAGAGCTTAGTCTTATTGTTTCCCCTCTGTATGTGACTTTTCATTTTTCTCAAGCTGCTCTCAGGATTCTTTCTTTGTCTTTGGTTTTAGTGAGTGTGATTACGATATGCCACAGTGATTTTCTTTTGGGGTCTATCCTATATGGGGTTTGTTACGCTTCCTGGATGGTCAGTTTTTCGTCTTTCATGATATTAGAGAAATTTTCTGTCAGCAGTTCTTCAGTGATCCTCTCTGTGTTTTCTGTTTTCTCTCCCTCTCCTGGAACTCTGATCACTTATAGATTTTTGCTTTTGATTTTATCCCACATCGTTTTCAGGGTTTCTTCGCTCTTTTCTCTGATTTTTCATCAAACAAAGTGATATCCAAGGATTTGTCTTCAATTTTGCTGATCCTGTCTTCCATTATTTCATACCTGCTGCTCAGCCCTTCTATGACACTGCCCATTTCTGAAATCCTGTTGTTTATCCCTTGGATTTCTAATTACTGTTTTTGTATGATTTCTAGTTGTTTATTTATTTTGAAATTTTGTTCCTGTATTATTTTCCTGATTTCTTCCATGATTTTGTCTGTCTTTTCCATGATTTTGTCTATTTTTTCCTTATTTTTTGTCTGCTTTTCCTTTATCTCTTTGATAGCCCTGAATATTAGAGATGTGAATTCCCTTCCAGGTGGTTCCAGTGCCTTTTCTTCTACTGGAAATTCATTTGGTATTTTATTTTGGATGCCAACTGGAACCATCCAAGACACACTTTTTTAATATTACATAATTTTAATTATACCTATATGATGTTTATAGAAAAAGTAAATGTACAGCTAAACAAAAAGAAAAAGTTAAGATTTTCCACTCACAATTGAGAAACAATTACTATTAAAATTTTGATATACATACTTACTTCTAATCTTTTCCCAACAAAATATATTCATAGAAATTTATAATTTTAAAAAGGATTTGTACTTTACATAGTGCTTTTAACCTTGGCAGTATATTGTAAACATACTACCATGTCAATAAATATGGAACTACATTATAATTTCAGTGGTCACATAGTATTTCAGTGTATGAATGTACCATAGGTTAACTGTTCTTGCATTTTTGGACATTTAAGTTGTTTACCAGTTTTTCCCTGGTGGCGCAGTGGTTAAGAGCTTGGCTCCTAACCAAACGGTTAACAGTTCAAGTCCACCAGTTGCTCCTCGGAAACCCTCTAGGACAGTTTTACTCTGTCCTATAGGGTTACTATGAGTCAAAATCGAGTCAACGGTAATGGGTTTTATTAATTGGAAAAGATGCTACAGTGAGCATCTCTTACATATGTCTTTATGTACTTGTTTTGTTACTTCCTTAGCATAAATTCCTAGAAGTGGGATTAGTGGATCAAAGGTTTTATACTTGTTGGAGTTTTTAAATATATTTTGCTATTTTTTCTCCAGAAAGATTTCACTGATTTATATCCAAAGCTATTTGAGAGTACTGATTTTCCCATTGTCATTTCAACATTGGGTATCATAAATTTTTAAATCTTTACCAATATAATGAACTAGAAATGGTATTTTTTTTTTTAATTGCACTTAGATGATTACAGGGGAGTTTGAACATTTTGTTAATATTCATTGGCTATTTGTATTTCTTTTTAAAAGAATCCTTAACATATTTGTCAATTGGAATATTTATCCTTTTTCATATTGATTTGTAAGATAATAAGCATATTAATCCTTTGTTATGTATTTTACAAATACGTTTTTCCAGCTTGAATAATCCAATGATTTGGAATTCCACATTTATCATGGACAAAGTGCTTATAATGCTAGATCTAGTAATGTTCCGTTGATTTCTCTCTGTTTTTGTGGTGTTAGTACCATTTGGATTGATTTTTGTAACTTTAAAATACATTTTAATATCTGGTGTAGGGCATGTTTTTTTCTTAGATTTTAATTTTCTAGACATTGTTATTGAAGTGTAATTTATGTACAGTAAACTACACAAATTTAAAATGTACAATTTGGTGAGTTTTAATAGATGTATATACCCATGAAACCACCACTGCAATCAATTTGCCTAACATTTCCATCACTTCCAAAATTTCCTTGTGTCACTTTGCAATCTACTTCTTCCTCTGTTCCTGTCTCCAGACAATCACTGATTTGCTTTCTGTCACTATAGATTAGTTTGCATTTTCTAGACTATTATATAAGTGTAATTACATAGTATGCTCTTTTATGTCTGGCTTCTTTCACATGGTATAGTGATTTAGAGATGCATTCATGTTTTTGTGTGTTATCACTAGTTTGTTCCTTATTCCATTGTATGGAAATACCACAATTAGCTTATCTGTTCCCTTGTTGATAGCCATTTGAGTTATTTACAGTTTGTAGATATTACTAATAAAGTTGCTATGAACATTTGTGTACAAGTTTTTATGTGGACATACAAGTCTCTGTGTGGATGGGAGGCTAGAGTATAGTAAGCATCAATATAAGTTACCTGTTATACTTTGCCTTCTTTAAGAGGAAAAATGAAAATTATAAAGCAGAAGGCTTTTGTTCAAATTTTATCTTCACTATTTTGATTAAAGAAGTTTGTTCTGTTATAATTATAGTTATTTAAGTATACATAGGTCTATTATGTGCAATTATTATCCAAAACCCTTACTTTCATTGTCTGTTTTTGCTTTTTATTTTGGTTGTTCTCTATTCAGTTGAAATGCTCCTAAGGTAGGAAACAGAAAAGAACTATTCCAAAATCTTCCAAGAAGATTTTGGGGCTTGAATATTTGTGAAATTGTATTATGCCATAGGAGCACCAAATTAGGAGTCAGAAAACATGGATAAAATTCTAGTATGCCACATCACTAAACATGCTTCCACATCTATATAAAATAGAAAAGATTATCCGTGAACTTTCTACCTCGAGGGCTGATAAGAGGATCCAAAATTTTTGCTAGTTGTAGCAGAAACAGGCTGACCTCTGTTTTGACTACAATCATAGGACATTTAACCTGTAATAATGCTTTCCAATTGCAAATTTCTTAGGGAAATAAGAGGTCAGAATTTACTGTCAGAAATGCCTGAGGTTTAATGCCATCTTTTTGAGAATGCTTTTAACTCTAGGCAACTAATTACTTCTTCATTTGTCAGGTAAGTTTAATTTTTACAGTACTTGAGCCCTGATGAGAGCTCACTTAACATTAGACTCTTTTTCCTTTTTTAGGCTTGTTTGCAAATTGATCCTGCTGAGAGGATGTCTTCTACTGATCTTTTACATCATGAGTATTTTACTAGAGATGGATTTATTGAAAAGTAAGGATTTTGAGTTCATATGGACTTTTTAGCATTTGTATTAGAAAATTTTACTAGCATGAGAATTGCTACATAGGTTAATGCTACCCATTGCCATTGAGTCAATGCTACACAACAGAAAAATTCATTTTATAATAAACTGAGTTATTGTATCAGATATTGACTAGGCATATGGTATACCTACAGGTGTCATGTATAAAGATTATAATAATAAAAATAATTGCATCTAACATTTATTACACAGTTACTATGTCCTAGGCAATGTGCTAAACTTTTTACATTTATTTTCAATGGTCATCATAAACCAGATATGAGAACATAAACAATCAGTACTATTTTGGCTTTATTCCCATTTGGACTGCTATCTCAGAATAGTCTGATTTTCCTCTTCCTATAGATTGTCTAAGGAGCCCTGGTGGTACAGTGGTTAGAGTGCTTGGCTGCTAAACAAAAGGTGTCGAACCCACCAACTGCTCCTCAGGAGAAAGATGTGGCAGTCTGCTTGCATAAAGATTTACAGCCTTGGAAACCCTATGGGGCTGTTCTCCTCTGTCCTACAAGGTCGCTATAGGGTTGCTATGAGTCCAAATTGACTCAGTGGCAGTGGGTTTTTTTTTTTTTTTTTTTTTTTGGTTTATAGATTCTCTGATCTAGAGACTATCACTAGTACTGACTTCCCAAATGATTTTTTTTCTCTATTCTCTGATGTAGTGCCTGTTATCTTATCCTCCCCACCAAACTGGAAGTTCCCTGAAGACAGGGACAATGCCTCTTACAGCCCTTCTGTGTGTCGCACTGCCTATGACATACTCAGCATATAGTATACACTGATAATCTAGATTCAGTAATCAGTCATGTTTCTAAAAAAACCATTTCCTATTTGAACTTTGAAAGAAACAGGAAGTTTTTAATTAATTGCAAAGTCATTCATTTGGCCTTCAGACATGTGGTTAGAAAGATGGACATCAATTTAAAATGTGACGGCGTTAAGGTCAGGTGTGGAAAAGTCCAGGAGCTATCACTGGAGACAGATTAAAATAAGAAAAAAGACAAAGAAAAGAGAAGTCTGTAGAGTAACTAGAACCTGAGTTATTTTATTCTAAAACAAAAAATGAGAAGATATATTGAAAGTGCCATTGATGAAAAGTGCCAGTTATTAAACAAAAAAGTTGCTTTGTATCAATTCTACATAGACTAAATTGACTTCTCTTGGGTATTTAGATATTGGAATTTGATTACTATGGGGCAAAAGTATCTTGAGTTCCAATTATAAGACCCTCAGAAAATATTTGGAGAAAGATCTTTTCCGCTGGTAAGAGGCCTCTTCTTGTTGTGGACCTCCTGCAGTGCAAGAGGACTTTGACAGAAATGTTTTATTTTTCTCATTCAGCCAGCTAATCATACTGGTTCTTTCCCTGTACAATACTGGCAAGAGTCACCTTTTAAATAGTGAACCATGTGAATGTATTTTTCTATTCAAAAACAAGTAAAAAAAACCAAACTAAAACCAAAACAAAAAACCTCCCTTCAATATTGATGTATTGTGTTACCTTTTGTATGAAAATATTTCTCTAGAGTAAGATTTCAGAGACTTAATAGTTCGTCTTTGAAGTCTTGTTACTTTAAAGAAGCGCAAAAAGGACAAAGTGATCTGAGTCTTGAGAAGGATGGCATATTTATTAAAATGAAAAGTGATAACTTTTATTGAGTAAAGTTCACATTACAAAAGGAATCTAATTCGTGTAAGTCTATTTTGTAAAAGTTTTTATAATAAATTCCCACACTAAAATTTTTGAAAGATCTATCTTTACCAGGAAGCAATTTGGATTAGGTAAATATTGTGACATCTGTTGGCATATATTATATGGTGATTTATTTATGCTGTAACTAAAATGTAAATTAATTGATTAAATGGTTCATTACAGATAAATTATATAAATAAAGGGGTTATTTGTTGATAATTTTTATTTTATCAGATTCATACCAGAACTGAGAGCTAAATTATTACAAGAAGCAAAAGTCAATTCATTCATAAAGCCAAAAGAGAATTCTAAAGAAAATGAACTTATGAAAGATGAAAGAAAAACAATTTATAGCAATACACTGCTAAATAGTTCAGTTTTGGGAAAGGTAAGAATTTTGGTTTTCTTTTTAGTCACTATAACTGTATTTATAAGTAGCACTTCAGTAACAAAAATAACTGTTTTCATCACTCAGATTTTGGATGTGTCTATTCTAGGAAGCAGAAAAAGAGAAAAAGCCCAAGGAGATCAAAGTCAGAATTATTAAAGTCAAAGGAGGAAAAGGAGATAACGCAGAACCAAAAAAGATAGACTATGAAAGCAGACATTGTCAACAGGATACAATTGAAAATGCTCATGCTATGTCTCAAGATGTGAAACCTGTAATCATTGAACCACCAAACCCTGTCAACCCCAGCATTAGCTCTAATGGCATAAAAGAAGATCCACATGCTGGAGGCTGTATGACGATGCCACCCATCAATCTAACTAGCAATAATTTCATGGCTGCAAATCCCAATTCAAATCTCACCCACTCCAATCCAAGGTGAGCTGTAACAGGGAGAAGAGGCAGTATGAAATGGACCTAAGTAATACAAAGTTCCTGTATAGTGGTATTTCAGAGAATCAAGTTCATAAACTGAACTTGAATGTATATTGAAAGTATAATTGTAAAAAGGACCATTTATTGGATGGTTCTTATGAGTGCTATAGAAGAAACCGACTTTTCTTGCCTATATACACGTTTAATTTTATTAATGCTTATTGGAAAAGCCTCTTTTTTTTTTTTTTTTTTTTAAGATCCTTATTAAAGTTTCTTACCTTTTGAAGAGGAAAAAGGTGGTATGACCTAAGTTCTGTTATTGATGTGCCTTGGTATAACAAAATAAGCTTTACTTCTGTATCATAGACAATTCGTTAAATGGAGAAAGGATAGTTGAAAATAGTCTTTCACAGTCAAATAACCTTTCAAGGTCAAATATTTTGGGGAAACAAACAGCATATTGGTCAAGTTTTAAATTTAGCTGCTGGTACAGATTGAGAGACTGGTACCATGAATCTGGTTAATCAAGGGCACTGTGATGAACAGTGAGGGTCTGTCGAGGAAGGCTTCAGGACCAGTTCTAAATTTAGGGAGACTACTGTAAATCTGTCCCTGGGCGGTCCAAAGGATAAGGCGCTTGGCTCCTAACCAAAAGGTTGGTGGTTTGAGTCTACCCAGAGGTGCCTCAGAAGAAAGACCTGGCTGTCTACCTTTAAAAAATCAGCCACTGAAAGCCCCACAGAGCACGGTTCTACTCTGACACACTTGGGGTCACCATGAGTCTTAACTTGATGGTAACTGTTTTGTTGTTTGTTTGTTTACTGTGAATCTGCTTTGGTGATTCAGTGGTAGAATTCTCACCTTCCATTTGGAATACCTGGGTTCAGTTCCCATGCATCTCATGTGCAGCCACCACCTGTCTTTCAGTTGAGGCTTATGTATTGCTATGATGCTGAACAGCTCGCAATATAGCTTCCAGACTAAGACAGACTAGGAAGAAAGGCCTGGTAATTTGCTTCTGGAAATCAGACATTGAAAACCTTATGGGTCATAATTGTCCAACCTGCAACCAATCATGGGGCTGGTGCAGGACCAGGCAACTTTTTGTTCAGTTGTGCACGGGGCTGCTCAATGCAGATAACAACATCTAGGCGATGGATGTAGACTTTAGTTCATTAGTTCAAGCAGATCCCAGCAGACTGGTTTGGGCTATTTGTTGTGAAGCTTAGTGGTCTGCAGAGGGGGCAAGTGGACATGTCTGTGTCAGTCCAAAGTTACAGCAGGCTACAGACAGCAGAAAGTCCAGTTGTTCTTGAGGTGACCCCAAAACCATGGTTTCAGTAATGGTAGTTGTAAGCCAGCCTTGGACAGCAAGCTGAGAAATTCAGAAACCTATAGAGGGGACCAAGTAGGCCAACAGACCCCAAAACATGGTTGTCACCACTGATGTTAGCCATGAGTTAACTGCTGTCTGTCCTCTTATCACCCCTCTGGTCAGAGCAATTGGTGCTTAAGGACTAACAGTTGAATTTTGGTACTCAGTATTCAAACAGTAGACTTCCATGATATAACTTGTTCATGATGGAAGCTGAAACAAAGGCGCTTCCGAGGAATTCTAATACCTTCTCATTTGTTTTAAAATAATAGGTTAACTGAAAAAGCAAAAAAGAGGAGAACTTCTTCACAGTCTATTGGGCACATTATGTCTAATAGCAGGCAAGAAGATACAGGTCCCACTCAAGTAAGGCAAGAAGCTAGTCATTAAAACATAGCCTCTTTCAATGTTATCCCCCACCCCCTTTTCCTTTTCTCTATTTTTGCATCTCCAACCCTTTAAAAAAATCTGCATTTATTTTCCTTTTTTTTTTTCTGAGATGAAACTAGGTCTTTATTTCCTTAGTGCTTCCACAATTTTATTTAATTTTCTATACACAAGGATATAGTGCTTGTGTATTTAATATAAGACATGGATAGAATAAGATTTCCACCTTTAAAAGTGGTTTTTTAACTTCCTCAGAATATTTTTACTATCTTACTTTTTACATTAAAAGCAATTGCTCAATAGGCACAGCTTACCCATTTCTCACTAGGAAAAAAAAGATCAGTCTAGTTCATCCCCCATTTTTTTTTATATAGGAAATTGTTTATTCAAAATTGAAATGATTAGTACAGTGTAATTTATAATAATAAAATACTGAAGACAATTTATAGCAGATGACTGGTTAAGTATATTAGGGTACATCCATTCCATGGGATACTACACATTACATTGTGGAAGAGTGTTTATTGACCTAAGAAAGTTTACAGTCTATTGCCAAATGAGCAAAAACAGGGTAATACAACAGATTATCCAGAATACTGAGTTCACAAGTAATTTTTTTCCCTTAGGTTTTCCCAGTGTCCTTCATTAAGCACATCATTTTGTAATTAGAAAAATAAGTTATAAATAAAACTACCTGAAGCAATTTGTCCAAAGTCAAAGTGCAGTAGATAGTATTAAAAAGTAACAGTTTAGATTGTGGTTCTCATGATCAAGACTATTATTCTCAGAACATTAAATATGCTAAAAAGTTTGGTTTATGAAGCTTCTTGGAGTTGGATCTATTTACATACATGTTTAATGGTATTCTACTTCTTAATTGTTAAAATAACCTTGCAAGATAGGCATTTTTGTGCCTGTCTTATACTAGCCAAACGGCTAGAAATTCTAGACTTATTATTCTATAATACAACATATATATAACAATAGAGATAGCTACACCTATTACTTCAAACTAAGTCTTGTTTATTTGTTTGTTTAGAGCCAAACGGACAAGGGTGTATTCAATGAGCGAGCAGGTCAAAGTGACCAAATGGCAAATGGGAACAAAAGGAAGCTGAGTTTTCCCAGATCTGACAGGAAAGAATTCCATTTCCCAGAATTGCCTTTCACAGTACAGTCAAAGGAGATGAAAGGAATGGAAGGTACAGATTTGTTGCATGGCTTTACAGATCTCCAGATGGCATCATTACAAGAACTTTTTTGTACTATAACTTATATTTTATAGTGTGATTTAGGTCAAAACGAGTAAATTGCTGGGACAGATACTTTCTGTAAATTGCTGATGAGATAGTTCCCCAACCCCAATACTTAAATAAGGGATAAGATTTAAAAGAGATACTTTTAAAGAGTGATTAAGAAAGCTTTAAATGGTAAACTTTTCATTAGCTCAGTGTTGTTGAGATATAACAGTATTTGAGGAAGTGGCTTTGGTTCAGTATGTCACCTGGAACTTCCTGTTTCTCCATGCTTATTTGTCCAGATAGTGGCAGGAACGTTATATGTGCTTCAGGCATCCAAGGATTTAGTAGATTAAGATTTATAACATGTATTGAGTTCTTAAAATGAAACTCTTGTTTTTGCATTCAGTAACTGTTCTGATGTTTCTTTGAAGAACAGTGACACCTTGTGAAAAGTGAATGTAATAGCAAGAATATAGTACTTTACACAGATCAAGAGGAATAATCTGTTATCCACTTAACAGTTATACTCAGAATAAAAAAAATTTAAATGTCTTCTGTTTAATACCTGATAGATTATGTGTAAACATTTCACCATTAATACTCAGGATTTGTTCAGTTTCTTTGTAATAAATTGAGAAACTGACTTTCTTGGACTTCAGAATTTCTATTTGAAACTATTGGAAAGTAAAATTTCAAGATAGGAATAACAAGTTGCCATTGTTCTATATATTTTTGCAAAAGTGAAACAGATGAAAGTGCAGAAGAGGGAGCCAAAGAAAACAGATTCATCTAAAATACCAACTTTACTTAATGTGGATCAAAATCAAGGAAAACAAGAGGTAAAACTTTTTTTTGTTGTCGTTTATTGCCTTTACTAAGGAATACAGTTCAGAGCCCTTGACTCTGTGTATGAATTTAGCTACTATTACTGAAAAGTTATATAAAAAATCAAAATTCTATAGTCTTCGAACTCTAGAAATATATCCATTTAAAAAAAAAAACCAAACCCATTGCTGTTGAATCGATTCCGACTCATAGTGATCCTATAGATCAGAGTAGAACTGCCCCATAGAGTTCCCAAGGGGTGCCTAGTGGATCCGAACTGCTGACCTTTTGGTTAGCAGACATAGCTCTTAACCACTGCACCACCAGGGTTTCTGTAGAAATATACCTGTAGTTTCCTAGAATTACCAGTTACTAAGTTTCTAAAATTTTTTTGCATAATGAATACCAGCCCTTATTTGAATGTTGCGTGACTAGAATGAACAATACCCAGGGGAAATATTATCTGTGTTATGTGTATTGCCAAGCATTGGAACGTTAAACATGTCAGAGGAAGTGAATAATGGTATAAACATATAATTAAGCTGGTCATGAGCACGAATGTATGTGTCTTTAACCTCTTACTTCCTTCTCTTTTTCTTTTCAATACATTCCCCATCTCTGCTATCCACCTACTATCCTATTTTTACAGATTTGCTCTCAGCTATTTATCAGGTAATCTTGCTGAAATGTCCCCATCCCCACCCACCAGAGTGATTCTTGAATTCTATATGGAAACCTTGAAGCCCTCAATATCCAAATGAATATTCTCTAAAGGTACTCTTTTAAAGGAAGAGGATTGTACTGAGCACCTACTGAGTTAAATCATGTACATAGCCCCCATTCTGCATACTTGTGAGGTCATTTCTGTATGTGATTTATCAACTTTATTATCTCAGTTTCTTTTTTAAAAAAATTGACTATATATTTTATTCAGGATAAAATTAGCACATACATAAAGGAAATTTGAAGATATTAGAAAAACAGTTACAAACTTTTATCTGAAAACTATGTAGGGAGGCATTTTACCTAAGGCTATTCAGTTTCTACAATGTTCAGATAAAAGGGTTATCAGACACTGTTAAGATGTATTCCCACTGTGACATTTAGGGCTATGACTTAGTCTCAGCATGAAACTTACTAACTTCATAATCCATTTTGTGGAAAAATTATATTGTAGAACAAGAAAGCCATTCGTGGTCATCTTCTAGTTCATTATAAAAAGTAATAAGGTTGTTTTAGGCAGCTTCTGTCCAGAGGTGAGATGGGAAGGCAGAGAGGGTTAGGAGCTGGTTGAATGGACATGGGGAATCAGGGGTGGAAAGGAGGAGTGTGCCGTCACAGTATGCGGAGAGCAAGTAGAGTCACGTAACAGTGTATGTATAAATTTTTGTATGGGAAAAAATAAAAAAAAAGTAATAAGGTTGTTTTAAACTTTTGAACTTAGGTGAGTTATTCATGTCACTGCATGTTGTGTAGCACACCATGTGCCCACTTTTGTATGACTGGGTGAGTGAAGGCTCCTGAGTTAGGGCAGAGTGGTAGTGTGCTGCATGTGTTTATCCCTCTGTCCTATGAGAGCCGCAGGCAACTCAAATTACCTTCCAACGCAGGAAAAAAGGAAATCATACAACAGTTCTGTCATTTTTAGAGTAATAAATAGTATGGGAAAACCTCTTTTTGCTCATATGATCTAGAACTTCAGACAAGATGACCTTTTTAAAAGAGTGACCTTGAAACAAGTTGTAGTTACTAGAAATAACTAGAAGTTATCAATACTGGTTGTAGTTTATTTGTACTTCCCATTCAAATGCAGTTCCTGACAAGTGACTAAAATTTATAAGACTAGACCGGACACTTTTAATAAGTTAATGTCAGAATTAAGAAATTTCCTAAACTTTGAGTCTGTAGTTTGTTATTTTAGAGCACGAGAGAATATGAAGTATTTTTTTTTAAAACATAAGATAGGGAATATAGCAACTTATTTATTCTATTCTTGGCTTTGCCATTGACTTGTTTTTTGAATTAACCAGATCCAGGCACTTTCCAGTCATACATTAAACCCTTTCAGGCAACTTAAATGTATATTAAAACAGTGCACACATGCATTGAATAGGCTCCATGACCAAGAGAAACCCTAAATTATTGTCAATGACTGATTTAGGCATGAAAGAAAAGAGCCCATACTAATGGCCACCTTCGGTTCTGTTTGATGATAATAATAAAGAGGAATAGTTTGCTGAACAGTCTCCATGTAGCCTATGAAATAACCCCCAGGTGCAAAGTACGAGTACTTATCTGTGGCTGTATTTCCTTAGCCAGAGAGACTCACCATTTCCTCAATTAAGGTCATGTTTCTATTTACTTTTTAGAATACAGGAAATACACAAACTGAAAGGGAGAAGAACCTTCCAGATGTAGAGTAGAAAATGCAGCAGCTGAAAATTCAGGGAATCCCAGAATCACTGTATGGTTCAAAAAAAAAAATCCTTTTTACTGATGTTACATACACAAAAATGCTGTCTAGGGAATTCTGCAGATATATCATAAATCCTTATAGTCGTGTATATTCACATACATTTATTTTTTAAAATTTTTAACCTTTAAATTATTCATGTTTTCTTAATTTGAACATTAATTTATAAAAACTGCCTGACTGGTGCATCCTAATAAAACTTCAGCTTACCCTAAGTCATGTAATTTTATTTTATGAGCTGTTCACTCAATCATGTTTGATTAGTACTCATTCTTAGCTTTGGTTCAGAACTTTATTATTAGACAAAGAAAAGTTTCCAAATGTGTAATGAAGTGAGACCCCAGACTCTGGGAGCACCAAACGTTGCTGAGCAAACAAGTACACTTGATAAGCATGAAATGTGAATCTGGTTCCACACGTGAACATCCTGGACCAGCATTTAAACATATCATGAAAGCTTTTTATGGGATGGGAAATGAGCAAAACATTGAGGCAAATCTTTTGACTTGAACTTAAACTAAATGTTTACCATTTAGTTGTTTACATATAATTTAACACTAATACAATCAAGGTTTTAACAGCATATGTTTTTGTCCTTATCACTGGTTCTTACTAGCTTGATTTCTAATTTTAGGGTGGAAATGGCCATTGCGAGGGGAAGAATTTGAAGAGGAACAGATTTTTTTTCTGCTAGTGTCTTTTCCTTTAAATAATCTTAAAAAATATAAATCGGCAACTCTTCCCCTTTTATTTTACGTGGAATAGAAATGTAACGTGAGCTGTTAAGACAGCCATCCGTCTGCATTAGCATCATCCAAATTTTTGTTTTGTTAGCAAAAATTCAGTTTTCTTTTTTTTTTTATTTTTCCATCTAAGAACTCTGTTGATGTGATGTTTGATTTGGAATTATAAAATGATCGCCTCTCTGCCTGCTTCTTTATTTGCCGTAATGGTAACGTATTCTGTCATATGACACACACTGTACTTACACTGATTTCTGCCCTCTAATAGACACATAAATGTCCCTGGATGGCACAAACTGTTTGCTCTAGGCTACTAACTGACAGGCTGGCGATTTGAATCCCCCTAGTGGCACCACAGAAGAAAGTCCTGGCAGTCTGCTTCCGAAAGATTAGAGCCAAGAAAACCCTGGGGAGCACAGTTCTACTATAAAGCACATGGGGTCATCATGAGTCAGAATTGACTTGATGGCAATGGGTTTGGTTTTTTTTTTAGTTAAGGGACATATAACCACAAGAGTGAGTTCTCTCCTAGGAAGCATAGCCTTCCTGAAGCGAGTCCTTAATGAAATATCTGACCCATTGTTTTAAAAGCTATTCACTACCATTACATGGTTAAAAATATATTCTGTTGGTCGGCGATAAAAGCGTTTACAATAAGTATAAAATATCTGAAATTGATACATTTTTTGAATGTTAATTAAATTCTTTTATTTTTTTAAATAATTGTTCTTCCAGGTTCATAGTGCCTTTTATGTGTACAGGCTTTTTCTATTTCATAAAATAAATTATGTTAAACCCAAAAGAGGTATACTACCAGAATTCTTCTGGATTGTCCCATTTCTCAAGTACATATAAATTTTGATTATCTTGTGTTTTACTAGGACTCTCATAGGATTTTGTGTTCACTAAATAGATTCGAAAAAGGAAAACAATTTATTTAGCACAGTTTTATGACCTCTTTTTATCTCAGAAAAAGGTTTATTAGAATTAATAATAGCTGAGATTATTGTACATAATATTCTTTCTAACAGACTCAGCTTTAGCAACTAATCTGAAAACTTTTCAAGGCACAGCTTCTCCAGGGAAATCAAGAGTTGTTTCCTGTGATAGGTTCAATAGGTATAAATCTTCCCATTGCCTGTTCCTACTATCTATTTGTCTATCTTTACACCAGTGGCAAGGTATTGTCAATTTTTTGTGTCGATTTTTAAAAAAACACCTGCTGGGATTTTGATTAGGATGAGAATGGGTATCTTAACAATATTGAGTCTTCCAATCCATAAGCACTGTGTAAACTTTCTGTTTATTTAGATCTTCTTAAATTCTGTCAACAGTATTTTTTAGTTTTCAGTGTAGCAGTCTTATACACCATTTGCTAGATTCATCTCTGTGTATTTTGTTTTTTGATGCTATAAATGGTATTGTTTTTAAATTTCATCTTCCGGTTGTTCATTGCTATATATAGAAGTACAGTTTGTTTTTCTATATTTATCTTGTATTCTGAGGCCTTGCTAAATTCACTTATGAGTTCTAATAGGGTGTATGTGTGTGTATAGATTTTTGTTGTTGTTGTTGTTAGCTGCTGTCGAGTCAGCCCCCAACTCATTATGACTCCATGCACAATGGAACAAAACGCTATCCCTATGTTCACTTGCTGATCTGATTATTGTGATCCATAGGGTTTTCACTGGCTAATTTTCAGAGGTAGATTGCTAAGCCAGGCCTTTCTTCTTTGTCTTAGTCTGGAAGATATTTGCTGGGAATCAACCTGGGTCTCCTGCATGGAAGATGCGAATTCTACCACTGAACCACCAATCCTAAGGATTTTCTTAGGATTTCTTATATAGGCAATCATGACATTTACAAATACAGTTTTACTTCTTCCTTTCCGATCTATATGCCTTTTGTTTCTTTTTCTTGCCTTATTGCACTGGCTAGGACCTCTAATGCAATATTGAATTGAAGTAATGAGAGTAGACATGCTTGCCTTTTTTCCTATAGCAGAGGGAAAGCATTTAGTTTTTTCCCGTTAAGTATGATGTTAGTTTTAGGCCTTTTGTAGATGCCATTTATCAGACTGAGGAAGGTTCTTCTATTCCTAGTTTCCTGAGAGTCTTTATATGAGTGGGTGTTGAAATTTACCAGGCTTTTTTTCTTGCATCTACTAAGAAGTTCTTGTGATTTTCCTCTTTTATTCTGTTAATGTGAATTACATTAATTGATTTTTGAATGTTAAGCCAATCCTGCGTTTCTGGGATAAACCCTACTTGATCCTTTTTATGTATTGTTGGATTTAATTGGCTAATATTTTGTTAAAGATTTTTGCATCTACATTAAAGAGGGATTTTAATTCATATTTTTTCTTGTATTGTCCTCGCTTGGTTTTAGTGTCAGTGTTATGAGTTGGGAAGTGTTTCCTCCCCCTCGATTTCCTGAAATTTTCTGTGGGATTGATTTTATTTTTTCTTTAAATATTTGTTAGAAATCACCAGTGAAGCCAACAGGGCCTGGATTTTGCTTTGTGGAAAGATTTTTTTTTTTTTTAACTGTGCATCAAGTGAAAGTTTACACCTTAAGTTAATTTCTCATTCAAAAATTTATATACATGTTATTTTGTGACATTGGTTGCATTCCCCATAATGTGACAGCATATTCCTCCTTTCCACTCTGGGTTCCCTGTGTCCATTCATCCAGTTCCTGTCCCTTCCTGCCTTCTCATCCTGCTTTTGGACAGGAGCTGCCCATTTGGTTTTGTATATTTGATTGAACTAAGAAACACTTTCCTCATGTGTATTATTTTTTGTTGAAGACATTATAGTGAGTGAAATAAGTCAATCACAAAGGGACAAATATTGTATGACCTCCCTTACATAAAAAGACAAGAACAGGCAAATGTATAGAGACCAAAGTTTATTAGTGGTTACTGGGGCAGAAGGGGGAAAGAAAAAGCGTAGGGGGGTTATTGCTTATGGAGTGCTGAGTTCGGTTTACAGTGATGGAGAAATCGCGTTAAGGGTAGGGTTGTACAGCCGATTCATGTAATTACTGTCAATAAATTGTACATGTGTAAAAAGATGAATTGGGAAAAGTTGTGTGGTAGATACATTTATAACCAAAAAAAAGAAAAAAAGAGTAGCTGCTGAGGCTGCTTATGTACAACTAACACCTCATGGGTTTAGGTCTTTGATTTGGAGGTTTAGGGTCATAGTTTCCTGGGACATCTCAGTTAATTGGCCTAATAATGGTTTAGTGCTTCTATTCTACCCCCTAGTTTGTTGCGTAGTGCTTAGGGTCTTAAAAGTTTGCAAGTGGCCATCCAAGACACAACATTTGGTCCCTATTCACCTGGAGCAATATAGGAAGAAGAAGAGTCAGGAATAGGAGGAGGAAATGGAATGTGTGGCTAACTGCTTCCATGAGCAACTACCTCCTTTGCCAAGAGACCAGAAGAACTGTAGGTGCCCAGCTACCATTAATGAACATTTTGATCACAGATTCTGTAGAAGAGTCCTGATGAACGGGGGTAAATGCAGAACAGTATTTCAAATTTTCATGTACTCCATACTTTCTGGAGCCATGGAGCTGGATAAACCCCTGAAACTATAGCCCTGAAATAATCTTTAAACCTTAAACCAAAAATATCCCGTCATGGATTGAATTATGTCCCCCCAAAAATGTGTGCATCAATTTGGCTGGGCCATGATTCCCAGTATTGTTTGGTTGTCCTCTATTCTGTGGTTATAATTTTATGTTAAAGAGGATTAGGGTGGGATTGTATAACACCCTTACTAAGGTCACATCCCTGATCCAATGTAAAGGGAGTTTCCCTGAAGTATGGCCTGCACCACCTTTTATCTTACAAGAGATAAAAGGAAAGGGAAGCAAGCAGAGAGTTGGGGACCTCATACCACCAAGAAAGCAGTGCCAGGAGTAGATCACGTCCTTTGGACCCGGGGCTCCTGCGCAGAGAAGCTCCTAGTTCAGAGGAAGATTGATGACATGGAACTTTCTCCAGAGCTGACAGAGAAAGCCTTCCCCTGGAGCTGATACCCTGAATTTGGACTTCTAGCCTACTAGACTGTGAGAGAATAAATTTCTCTTTGTTAAACTCATCCACTTGTGGTATTTCTGTTACAGCAGCACGAGAAAACTAAGACATCCCCTTAAGTCTTTTTAAAACCAAATAATAGCTTAACTAGTAAAGAATGTCTTCCTTGAGCATTGTGCCCTTTTAAGATCTATCTATATGAGAACAAATTGACAACAGCAACTTGAAGGATTAGATAGGAACCTTAGGGGGCAGTGATTATGTTAATGGGGGAGGAACAACTCAGAAAAGGAGGGTGAGAATTGTTGCACAACTCAAAGAATGTAATCAATGTCACTGAATTGTACATGTAGAAACTGTTGAATTGGTGTATGTTCTGCTATGTATATTCTCAACAACAACAACAAAAAATAAATTATTAAAAAAAAAGTTATAGCTCTATTTCATATAAATTGCTCCTGATTGATTTTCTGCTGTTTTAGTTTAAGACCTCCTAAGTATGGATATGTGGACAGGAATTCATCCCCTTACTATTTAAGTAGGGGCTTGCCCATCTATCTTTGGTCCTTTAGACAAGCATTGTAATGATCATTTATTCTGTGGACTCTTTGACAATAGTATAATGGGATTTCAGCAATCGTCATAATTGGTAGGATGGATGTTTTATTGGCTGATAATAATTACCAAAGGTATTAGTGAGGCAAGTATGTTTGAGTTGTACGTCTGGTGTGTTTACATTTTCTACCTATGACTGTGTCTTACAAATATTTGTTATATTGGTACAAAGCACTTTTATCTTGAACGTATGGTTAAAGTAATGAGCTACTTACATAAAAAATGGCTACAGCATGAAAATATTAGAATGGGACTCAGGAAGTCTTTGAAAGAAGATAAAGTCCTGATTTCCATGTTTAATTTATTTCTATTCCATCCTTGCAGCCCCCTTCATCAACTCTGTGAAGGAGTTGGATTTCCAGGGCCTGAGTGTTAACAGTTTACAGTGCATTTTCAGTGTCTACTAAGTCCACAAATATGGTAGACTGCTACTGCTGAGGCAACATTTTCATCAAATTCAAGGTCAAGAAAGGCATACCTTTTTTAACATGTGGTTCTAAAAACACAGGAACAAACTATGCCAGT